TACTTTATTATTTCTGGTTTCCTCTTTTGTATGGGTTGTCGCCGGTTTATTAAATTAGGTATTTAAATGTGCCTTTGCTGTGGTATAAATGAGGTGATTAGTCTCCATTATTTCGTCTTGGTTTACTAGTATAATTTTCAAGAAGTGTAAAAAGAGTAATAGAAAACAAAACTTCACCATGCATTTGCTTATCAAGAACGTAGAAAATATTTTAGTGAGGTGTTTTAGTTATTTTGTAGTAGTCTTCAAGTATACTAATTATGCCTTCAAATATTATGAAGGTAAGGTTAACAGTGTAATGTTCATATGCCTGATTTGTGCTGTTCAGTCTGTGGGAAATAAATTATCACATAACCAGAGTAGGATATTCTGTTTTATCTAGTCGTAGAATGTAGAATTTATAGAACTTTGATACTGTTTGATGTAAAGTTGCCTTTTATTATATATGTTTGGTTGGAATATTTTATCCTAGTATGAAGTTTATCCAGTGCAGAGATATAGGGTATAGTGTGATACATATATTACTCTAGAACTGTGCCATGAAAGATAGTTATTTCATTTTTAGCTTATGTAGGCTAATAGTGAGTCGTTGAGAGATGATAGTTAAAATTGAAACCAGCTGTTATATTACCGCCTACTTCTGTGGGACAAGGTGAAATGTACTACTTTTTGGGATCGATCTGTTCTAAGACCTCCTTCCGCTGTAGGAAGTTAGAACCGCTGCAGCCCCCAAATGGTCTGTTACGAACAAGGGTGGCAGGAATACTTCCCTCCTTTCAAAACGCTATCTTATGGCAACGTATATAGAGCCACTGCCAGAAAAGTTCTACGCACTACCTTCTGGTAGCCGAGGAATTATCCACCTATATCTGTTTAGGCACCGAGACAGTATCCCAGCTCCCACACAACTTGAACGATAACTAATTTGTGTGCCGCATGAATATTTTGGTGCCTCCTTGTACTAATGTTTGTGTTTAAATAAATAAAGGATCACTGCAGATCTTGGTTGCTTGCGAGAATCTCTTTACTGCCTTTACATCCGTATCCAGTTGCCAGTGAAACTTTTCTGTCGAACGTTGATTTTTCTGCTTTTGGTCTTACCGTTCCCCAGTCATTTTTTGATCATGGCAACATCTAAAGCAATGAGTGATCTAGCGAATATAGCTTCATTGGATCATTGAAATGTGAAAGCTTGGTCATCACATCAAGGCAGCCGCTACAGTCTAACCAGGTAGTATTATGGAATCTCATAAAAACAATGTAGCTCGTGGCTAAGGGAGACATGTCATCGATAAATGTGTTATATTATTAACGATACTAGGTATGCAAAATACTTGTTTTCTTAGGTTAAAACCAAAACGTGGCGTCAGTGCTTGAAGACACTAACCTCTAGTCTGAGCCATGTTGGTAGATGCAGACTACTTGGTTGGGGTCCGAGTGACTATCGTAACCAATGGTTGGAGACTCTTGGTGACATGACTCAAAATCGGTCACAATGGCGTCGGTGTATACACTCCCTGTCTTCCCTTAAACTAAGAGATTAAAATCGCTTTATATCTTTCTTTCTACGAACTAATTCTATATTCCGGTACTGTTTCCTTATATGCAATCTTTCTCCTATATATTACCACCTTTAACCTAACCACTCCTATGAATCCGGTGTTCATCTTGCTGTGCTAATGAGGTATGGCAACCTGGACCGATGCATATATGTGCCTGGTCCTACGTTGTAGTTGACTGACTGACTGACTGGGTTAAAACAAACAAACGGAATTTTAGCTGTACATTTGAAGAAGAAAGTTATATTGGAAGTTATGAGTGGATACTTCATTAAAGTCCTACAACTGCACAGAACTGATATCCGGCGCTATTTTACTTTCACTGAATCTTCAACTGTTTTTGGTCTATAATACATAACTGTCTTCAATCCAAAAGGATTTGAATGTGGGGACGACAATATTGATAGTTGATTAAACACTAGTTTTCATTTACGTTTAATATTGTGGTTGAAGTTATGGTAAGTATTGAATTCGGGGAGCACATATAATCCTTAGTTAGTAGTCTATTAACGGCCTATAACATATATCAAAACAATTCAGGTCCATTGGACCCAAAACTCTGAGCCCCAAACGGTCGCTCCATATGTAACATTATTTACTAATCAGTGCGTGGTTAGCGCAAATCCCTTATTGAAGTGATATATATATATATATATATATATATATATATATATATATATATATATATATATATTGCAGAGGATTTGTAGCTCAAGTGGATGATTTTGTTGGACTTTTGTCTTCTGAGCTGGATGGTTTAGTTGTGAAGCTTTCAAAGTTCTGAACGACATCATCAGCACAAACTTTAGGCAGAAGAAAAGTGTTCGAATTTCTCCACACACGGCCCCTAGCTTGCCCTGTGGGCCTCGAACAATTCTCTTCTACCTGAAGTTTGTGCTGATGATGTCGTTCAGAAGAGCGATGAAAGCTCCACGGCCAAACTATACAGCTCAGAGAGAACAAAGCTTCAGTGCATATATATAATAAAAAATTAGTGCATCTCAAATTGTTTTATTTTGATAGCGCACCAAAGAAAAACGGAATATTAAAGGAAGTTAACAAAAATATATATACATTGCAAAAACGTCTAGGTTTTATATCCACTATTATTATGAAATATTTGGCAAATCGACTTCTGATATAATGTTTAGTATATCCCACACTCACGATCATATAGGGATCAACATTAGAGATCTCGAGTCTAGTGACAAATACGATATCTGTGGTGCACATGTGATCTTGTCCCTCATCAGTGAATTTACAGTCTTGCTTCAGTATAAGGTTGTGAACGTCAGTTGCTGAGGACCTATAAACTTAGGTATAGTATCTTTTCAGTTTTCAATAATATTTCATTTTATACCAGTCGGTAATGAAACTAACTTCAACTTTTACAAAACGGTTAGCTTAAATAAATTTTTGTTGTATAATGTAGAGACTATTCAAATATAATTTACATTTAAGTCATTTGTTAAGTTATTTGTTAATTACCGGTTTATGTACTTGGTTTTAAATCGTACTTTTGTTGTGTGTGAAAGCTAGCAGTGTTGGGGTGAACAAGAAAACAGATGAGAACAACCGATTGTGTTTGAACACAAAATTACAGAATCTTTTGGTAAAATATGAGAATCTTACACTGAACACTTTGCGAATTCCCATCATTTGTCCTTCACATTCTGTTTGATTCTCCCAGTTCATAATTCCTTTTTATTTTCTTCAACTCGATCTTCTTAGCTTTCTGCTGTCAGGTTTTCCACTTCTGGTTAGTGTCACATACTACCTATGTCGACAGACATAAGTAGCATATATCATAATGTTACCCCGATTGCCTGAATCCTGCCAATGAATATTAAGTGGTGATTTTATAACGGTTGTAAATCGAGTAATTTTATCGCAAAAAGCTATCATCACTCAATGAAATCATTTGATATATATAACTCTTATAGCTTCTAATTAATCCTGACTTACGGTAATTAGCTGGATCTCACAGTTTGATACAATACATAACCAAACTTTCAAAAATTTTTACATCGTTATATAGTCCAATTAGTGAATGAATATAATTAGGATCTGTATGTGTAGCTATTTCTACACACATCTATTTTTGAAGTATTGTATGCACACCGTATTGTTGGTTTGGAACATAGTATAAGTTACACGCGGACAAATATGTAACATTGAAATCTAATCCTGACTTAAACCACGAATCATTGTCTAATCTATAATTGTGTTAGCGGATTCGTATAATGTACAATATTGAGAATTTAGGGTATGTCGATAATGTTTATGCACTTTTATATATTGGAAAGTATTATATATATATATATATATATATATATATATATATATATATATATATATATATATATATATATATATATATATATCCATTGTGCAATGAATGTAAGTAGAAATTGGATTCCAAAAGCATACAGGATTTTAATTTCAATTTTTGTTTTTGTGAATTTCATCTATGAATCAAATTCTAAAGTTTGAACTACTGTCTGGTTGTTAAGTAATATATTGATAAACAAGCTTATAGTGGAACATTGAACTGGAGGTTTTTTTAAGTTATTAAATTTTTCAAAATCCCCATATATGACTATGTGGAATGGAAGTGACTGTTACCATTTGCGACTTATATTTCAGATACACACTCCCTGTACACTTTTCGAACCAGCTATCGGGTGAGTGAACGAATGAATAAGTAGGAAGTTGTAATTGGCAAGACCGAATAATTAGGTACACAAATCATTAGTGTATTCACGTTTGTCATCCTGACTCAGACATCTAAATATGGAGTTAATATTTTATTTCGATTAGTCAATGGTCACTTTTGTACTGTCAGGTCTTTCAAGAAAATAGTATTCTTCTATGATCAGGAATTGAAAACCGCCCACATGATATCTATAAGCATTAGAGCACATCCTATTCACAATCAAATTTTTTCTTGATATGTTCAGATTGTAGATTTGTTAGTGTGGGAAATTTTTAACAGTAAAACAAACCACTTTTCTAATCTTGGTATACTGTTGACTATCAGGAAGTAAACCTCCTGAATTAATGTCTGCTTCAACTGTAGTAATGCATCATTTGTATTTACGTTGTTTGTATAAATCAGTGCAGTTAGTGTTTAAAAAAATTACATAAAGTTATTTTCTAAACTGTCGTTTTTTCGTGTACCTGACAGCAGTTCTGTGAGAACATCCACTGAGAAACAAATCAGGTACCGGATCAATTCAGCAAGCTGATTGATGATATTAGAACCGATAACCACTATACTCTAGGTAGTTATCATGGGTTAGTACTCTTTCTGTACAGGGGGTATTGGTTTACGTTCTCTGTTGGAAAGCTGACACATACCGATACAGGCACATTGAATTAGTGACCCTTAAATATGTTGAAAAACACCTGTAGAGGGGTTCCTACCATTCCTACTATAACAGTGCTATTATGATTTGGTCTTTCATCCTTTCCACATATATGCTCTTAAACTATTGTTTTCTTATTATAACTCTGTGATATACATTCGCTTACATATCTTTGTTGCTCGTGTTTTGAAAAAATAAACAGGGTTTACCGTTTCAACATGGTGATATTTTACACGTTGTGAATGCTAGTGATCGTGAATGGTGGCAAGCTAAACGAATTTCTTTAGTATCCGATTTTGAAAATGCTGCTCATGTAAATTCGATGCATTCAACAACAGATAATACTAATAATAATACTATTAATAGTAATACACAAACATCTACATTACTCTCATCTACTACCGGACTTGGAATAGTTCCTAGTTGTCAACGTATCGAAAGACGTCAGAGAACACGATTAAAACGTGTGAATTTTGTTGGTAAAGTCACTGTGATTGGTTCAACATCTTATCCGCATACTACTACTATTAACAACGCCAAGGACAGTAACACATCATCATGTGTTTCTAATTCAGGAATAATGAATTCTTCCCCCTGGGATATTGGTAACAATGATTTTACTATACATAATAACAATAATTGTGCTACAACTACTACTTATAATAATAATACGTCTGTGGATGCTGGTATCAGTTCGAATAGCAGTGAAACGTTAAGAAATAATTCTCTTGATATGAATATGAGAAATAATACACCTATGGATTTGCCTATTGTATCTAATTCAACTGGTACTGGTAAGTTGTATGAAATAATAATATCAATGATGGTGATGTTAATTCAATAAGTTAATTGATTCTATACCGCCAGTTTTCCCTCTAGGTTCTCACTAATAAGAGCATGAACAAAACGGTGACCATAAAAGAGGTACATTATTAAAAATAAAAGTGAACAGTGAAACGAGAAATAAAACTTTTGTGAAATTGAAACCCATAGGTTTTTTCTTCTACGGCTAATCGAACGTGTAGTTTTCTGAACGTCTAATGGAGAGTCTAGCGTCAACAAATACTCTAACTTTTCAAGTTCGGTGACAATTTTTTATTCTTGTTACTCCAGTCATTTTATCTTATACGTTTATTTCGAACAGCTGGAGGTTAATCACTTTAAAGGTATATTTGTATGTGTTGGGTTCCCAACAAAATAAGATTTTGTTAGATATCTTTTGGTCGTTTTTAACTCACTCTTTTGCTCACACCTAATTGGATGGATTTGTTCCCTTTATACGTAAGAACAACAATCGTAGCCGAACCATCATAATAATATGAACTCATTTATTTGGTTGATTCCCTTCAACTTCTTTTAACAAAGAAACAGTGATATTAATCATTTAACAACCAAAACAACTGTGCATACTTCATATCAAAAATGTTTTGATTGAGGTTGAATGTGACATGTAGATGTACATTGATAAAATACAATGGCTGTCGGTGGACCAAAATCATTGTTCATAATGGATGAATTGTAACTGGCAGTGGGATCCACAATTCGCGTCTCGTCTCAACTTGGTATACTTGCATCCCAGTGTCGGTATTCATATCGTGGCTTGGACTCAGTATCTTCTGCTTCAAAGAATCGACTAAGATACTGAGTCCAGATTACCACCAATTTGCGTAACGAGTATAATGTTTATATCGTAATTGGAAAGAGTTCAGATTATTTCGTTGTTAATATTTAACTCTTTAATAATTGTGACAAAATGTCTATATCGAAATAATCTACATATACCAACAAAGACTGGTTAAGATTTAGTCAAGAATGTAAATAACGGGATAATTCAGAACCTGTCTTATTTATTCGCGTGTAAAATCCGTAAATATTTTGTAAGGGAACACCAAGAAGAGTATGGAAACAAGGTTTTTACAAGTGGAACATTATTGTCATGTAGTGTTATGTATTTATTTTATTTATTATTTGAACACTGATATTGGTACAAGAAGGCACCAGATACATATGCACTACACAAATCTCATTAGATTTGTGTGAGGGCTTTGATACTGCCCGGATGCCCAAACCGAAGCAGGTGGTTTTCTTAGGGGACCACGCCTGGAGCCTTCGACCTACAGGTATGATCCACAAGACAGTGGAACATCGTAAGGAGATGCAGTCCCATGGTAGCCGGTGACCAACGATTGGTTCATACGCCATTTGTTCCTTCAGGATACTGGAGCCCATGTGGAAAATTGTTTGGGAATCAGGGTTTTCCAATTCCCCTAGATGGATTCTCCGTGTCCACCAACCCGGTTAAAGTGCCGGACATTCGATTTTCGTCCTTTCAATTTTGTAAACAACACCCTAGCCACGAGAAGGCAGTGAGTAGGGCTTCCTTGGCAGAGCCTATATGCGCGTGGCCATATGAGAGCATTTTGAGAGGGTGAGCGGATTCTCCCCACTCTCGGCAGGACCAGGGCATTTGGGGACAGTGTTATGTAACAATTAAAAATATGACTAAGTAAAGCTCAAGCCAAAAGCAAGAAATAAAAAAAAACTAATTGGGTTCGTGAGGAAAATGTCACCTAACAAACCCTGAAAGTTAAAGTCATAATGGCAAAGCCAGATTGATAGCTGTGTCCTTTTGTATGCAGAAATTCGGTGTAAATAAGATGGTGAAGAAGGTTTGTAGTTCAGGTGAATGATTTTGATGGGGTTTGATCGTGGAACCTTCATCGTTCTTCTGAGCGACATCAGCATCACAAACTTCAGGTCCAAATCTTTTTATACGATTAGTTTCAGCTAAACTTAGTGGGTTTTAAGTTCTCTGTTTATTGATTGTCTTGAAAGATTTAGAAACGTCAACATCATGTTCATTGCTATGCAAATGGCGAGCGTTTGCACTTTTGAAAATATGCTGTCCTAATTTCAGACAATTTGCAATGAGTTTGGAGGTGTGAACGCTATCTCCTTTTTCTTTTTTACCAATATATGCACTTTAATGTGTACATGTAGACTGCTAGTCACAAATGGCGGGAATTAGTTCATATTTAAATTGTCAATTTGTTTGATAACACTGTCAGAAAACCTTTTGAATTCTAAATTTTAAGATCAACGTTGAAAACAATCAAACACTCTTTGCAAATGAATTAAACATATTCTGTTCCAAAAGCTAGTGAACTCAGTGGTTAACCTGATAATGTGTCGGGCTTAGATGGTGGTTGGAGGTGGTCGACAGGAAACCCTGCTGATTGGCACTCGTCAGCAAGGTGTACCTGTAATCTTGACGGAACTGGTGCTCCCTGACGGATTCGATCCCGTGTCACCCAGCTTCACAGTCAGTGCACTAATCTCACAATAGTGCACTCACTGTCGATCCACCTAGATTGGTGACCACATTGGAACATGGTCACATGACATTGATCACCACCCAGTGATCAATCAATTGCGAATGCGTCGGACGTTTGAAGCGAAAGTCACTGGGTCACGTGTCCCATTGTTAACACCAACACTGGAGTGCAGTTACATCCAGTCGATAAGCCTTAAATGGGACGGAACGCTGGTCTCAGATTCCACTGTTAACCACTGTTCAACTGTGCTTAAAATTCTTATGATGTAATGAGACTATAGGAACAGTCCGTACGGGATGTGATTATGCCGAATAATACTGATCGATTGCAGTCCTTAACATCAACAACTTGACGATTCACTCAAATCTCACAAATGTATTGAATCGTTTTGTTTGATTGTGCCTGTGTTTAGAATATTGTAATTCATTAATATAAGTGCTCAGATTTAAATTATGTGTTGTGCCAAGTGTTATCTTCGATACATTCGTTCCACAAGTTGTTTCTTTTAGTTTTGTATACTGTTCTTTACGTAACTGTAAGTAATATATTGTTGGAATTTATGCTATAACAGTTGCGATACTATCACGCATTAAGAAACTATTGATATTAATAGTATGTGGCAGAGTTACCTGTGTCATTAACTTTAGAATCCAACCCGTTTACCAATAATTTTAATGTCACAACAATCCTGCTATACATCGTATTTGCTACCTCTAACTATTCACCATCATATGTATGTTCATCTTGTACTATGAAGTTGCTAGTTAACTCATTTTATTTTCCATAGAATCATTTTTTGACTCAAATTTTATAGCGGTCGTGAAATGTTGGATTAGAAACTTGATCGATCAGGTGGATTTTTAGCTAACGAACTTCGATAGATCGATTCTTCTTGTTATGTAACGATAGTTGTTATGACTGAAAATGATTGAAGTTTTGTCTATCATATTATCTGGAAATAATAAGTTTGTACGTGTCAGATCTGACTGGATCTATAGATATGCTTCGTCATTCACTATCACAGTTTTTCTTATGGAGCTCAGTATTATTACATATGTTCTGTATTTGTTATAACTTGAGATCGAGTTGCGGCAATTTCTAACTACGGATGTCTCATATTCTTCCAATATGAATAGGATCGTATTTGAATTGGATATTATATTTATAGGCTCACTATTGACTAGCTTCAAGAGATCATTCTCGGAACGTGACAAGTGAAGCTAATCCGTATTGGGTGTGAGGCATGTAGTCACTGACAACAATGAAAAATGATCACGTAATGTTATGGATTGACTGATGTTAGACATTATCGCCGTTAGATGCTGGCTCGGTGGTATGGCGGTTAAGCATTCACGCTCGAGGCTGCAGGTCCTGGGCTCGATTCCGAGTTACGGGGTCGTGGATGTGTAATGTTGAGGGGTCAAATACTAAGACGAAACAGCCATCTAGTGCTTTCAGGCTTTTAATGTTAGTCTAAATTTCATTGGTTGATGATTTCAATTAAATTCAACCATCCTCACTTCCCCGTATTTGTAAACCTTGATATTCCAGAAGTCAAAAATTTAAGATTGAAATAAAACAATCCTGTTTATGTAGAGTAATGTGAAATGTCTTGGGGACGAAAGATTAGAAAACTAAAAGTAATAAGATCCATTCAGATTACATTGCAAGTCATCGCGAAAATATGAGTTCAGAAAATGTTATTACGGTCACTTTTATCAGATAGATTCTGTCCTATGTTAATTAAAATCTAAATAATCTGAGCTCTTCTCAGCAATATATTTCGTCATGCGTATATCTATACATTTAGTTCAGTTTGGTTACTAAAAATCACCTCTTATTTGACAATTTTTGATTATGTTTGTTTTGATTGGTTTGAATAGATACGAAGAAGAAGAGATCTGGTAGTTTAACAAGAAATCTACTAAAGTGTTTCTCTCATCGATCTATTAAAAACGATTCAATTGGCGCATTGACCGTTACACGAACCGGATCTTTGGATGGAGTTAATCAGAGTTAGTTCTTATTTTTGTTCATATATTTAGATGGGGTGGCGAAGAATATCTTTATTATTTTCTCTACGTTACCATATTTTTTCCGCTAGCGGGAAGAGTTATATGTTTGGTGGGTTAATTCATTTGACACGTATAGTTCTGTCTATTGACTAACTAATTTATTAGTAGTATGAATATTCTGCCTGGAATGGTTTATCTCAACTTCAACAAATTTCACTTGGATCGTTAAATTGTGAATGATTAGGTTACTAAGTTATGATAATGTATGTCTATTCAAATGCGTGTTACTTCTTAGTAGTACTAGAAAGTAGTGATTTTAATTAGCTAGACAGAAGTAGCGCAGAGCCTGACGTATATCATACGTGAGTCGGTTCATGGCTGCCACATCATATCAACAAAACAAGAGAAAATGCCAGAAGAATTGTAACATTTACAGTATCAGTGCTGGTAAAAACGATTAAGTTCGTGAAATAGCAAGTATAAGATAATTTTAAGACTCAAGATATAATGGAAGACGAAGAGTAAATGTGACCTACGTTGTTTTAACAGATTCTGTATCATGCTATCCTTGGTTTTCAACATGTAGATCATAAATTTGAACCCCGTTTCAGCTATCATAATTGCAAATATAATTGTGAATAACTCATTCACCAAGTACTTGGTTATGAACCACGCTCTAAGTGGCTCATTTACTCAAACTAGAATTGTGGGGCAGGGTTTGAACCTGGGACAATGACTGGAAGTCGAACGTCTTAACCACTAAGACACCGTTACAGCTACTGCGGTACAGTTAGCCTGATAGTATCATTCACTATCATATACACACATACATAAGTATGCCCCAAAGCGTAGTACATTATTCAGTATTTAGTAAGTGATTAAATGAATAAGGTATCAGTACTTTTAGTCGTTCGTTGTTGAATCTCTTTTAAAACTGAATGTTTATCAATCTTTATGAGCAACATATGACCATGTTTTTGTAAAAGAAATTATGTTCGTGATGTTTTTTGGTAAATATTCTACTAGACACTTACAAAGGTCGTTTAATTTTTCATATACATAAAATTTCGTTCTATAATGTTTTATAAAATACTTCTTTGATGCATCTTGGAAATCACTGATGATCAACGCGTGATTGAGTTGATATTGAGTAAAGTTGTCACATCATCTCAACAAGACAAATAGAAATAGTAATATTTACTATGATAGTCTGTTCTGTTTTAATTTACGGCAGCGAAACACGGCCATTAAGAGTAGAAGATACTCGTAAGCTACTAGTATTTGACTACAGATGCCTCAGAAATATTGCTGGCTTGTGCTGGGATCACCGGGTAAGTAATAGTGAGGTTAGATGCAGGGTATTAGGGAATGATGGTGAATCAGTTGATGAGGTTGTTAATCTTCATCGACTGAGATGGTTGGGCCACGTGTTACGTATGCCTGAACACTGATGACCACGACGTGCAATGCTAACCGGTGTTGGAGATGGTTGGAAGAAAGTTAGGGGCGGCCAAACCAAAACGTGGCATCAGTGCTTGAAGTCACTAACTTCTAGTCTGAACCATGTTGGTAGATGCAGATTACTTGGTTGGGGTCCGAGTGGCTATCGTAACCAATGGTTGGAGACTCTGTGTGACATGGCTGAGAATCGATCACAATGGCGTCGGTGTATACACTCTCTATCTTCCCTTAAACTGAGAGATTAAAATTGCTTCATATCTTTCTTTCTACGAACTAATTCTTTCTTCCTGTACTATATCCTTATTGCAATCTTTCTTTTATATATTACCACCTCTGAATTAACTACTTTTATCAATCCGGTGTCCATCTTGTTGTGTTAATGAGGTATGGTAACTTGGACCGATGCATATATGTGCCTGGTCGTAGCTGACTGATTGACTGACTGACATTTATTATGATAAAAGGAACTAAATGCAAAAAAGATATTATTCCAAGAGAATGAATAAAATCATGGAATAATTAGTATGATGTAATATCAAGGCTAAAGACTTAAAATTAGATAAGGAATTAAAATGTATCTAAGCAACTAGAATTAATTTTAAGTCCCCTATCTTCCCAAAAGTTGAATCACGATTATCACTCTAACTTTAGCCAGTAGATCTTCACCTATCAATATTAGATTTGATCAACCGGTGAATGACCTCATAGATTGATTGTTTTTCTTAGATTTTTAGTCGCCTTTTAGTTTTATGACAATTCACTCTTCTATGTTGAGATGGTGGAGAAGATTTGTAGCTCAGATGGATGATTTTGGTGGAGTTTTGTTCTCTGAGCTGGATGGTTTGGTCGTGGAGCTTTCATCGTTCTTCTGAACGACATCATCAGCACAAACTTCAGATAGAAGTGAAGTGTTTGAATTTTTCCATATGTGTCTCAAAGCTTGTTCTGTGCACCTCGACGTTGATTGGTTCTTATTGACCTTAAATCTGTCGTTGTTTACTTCTTTGTTTTGGTTGTGTCTCCCATTGTTTTGATTTTTGTTCTTATGTTTGTGCATGATTTTTCTGATTGGTTGATAAATTGGATTGATTTCAATATGCTTGTTGATTGCTGATTGACCTGAGTACCAGGCTTCTAAAAATTCTCTGGTGTTTTTGGAGTTTCCTCTGTCTAAGATTTCCACATTTTTGCAATCGAATGAGTGTCCGCAGTTGTCCACGTGTATTGATATAAGTGAGGAGATATCATGCCGTTTGACTGCTAATTGATGTTCATGTAGGCGAAGGTAAAGGGGGCGTCCGCTTTGTCCGATGTAATGTTTTTCGCAGTTGGCACAATTTATTTTGTAGATGATGTTTGATTTGTTTTCCTTTGTTATTTCATCTTATGGTTTGCATAAGATTGATTGTAGTGATTTTGTCGGTTTGTGTGCCACACCTATTCCGAAGGTTTTCAGCAGTCTCGTCGCAGTTTCTGATATTCCTTGTATATATGGTAAGGTGATCCTTTTGTTGATTTTTGTGCTTGACTTGAGTTCTAATGCTGCGTGCGGTTGGTATTTTTTGATGAAGTTGATAGGGTAGTTGATGGATATTCACAACTTGTTTAATCTATTTTTACAATATTCACACAAAAACTTTAATAATATTTCACTTCTTTATTCAGTTATACACAATTAATGCTTTATAAACATTTATAATCACAATTTAGTCAATCTACTCTATAAATGGTTATAAACATTTTACGATACTTCATTGATAATATATATGATTACGTAAATGATATAAAAAAGGGTATAAGAAACTATTTTCTTTCACATTAGTTTTCTCATTTACTTGTTGATTATTACAAATTATAAACTTATACATATTAGTATCTAAGATACTTTATATTTAAAATATGACATATATTTCTATAATAAAATGTTGATAAGGCCTACTGTAATCAAGTAATTGAAACTCAGATGTATACAAGGTTTGTAACCGATTAAAATAGTATGAATTTCAAATTAATCTTGTATCTAAGTATAATTTGATTAAGTGAGTATATGTTTTACATTTTCTGTCAATAAAAAAAAATACTCTATAGCAACCACATGTGAAAAATGCTACATTTTTTTTAGTGATTCATTAGAGTTCATTGACTGACAAGTGTATTTATTATGTAAATATTTAATGATAGTTGATTCTTTATAACAAGTGAAAATGTATTGTAATCTTGTATGATATTGCAAAATAGTTCTTATGACAAATTAACTTTCATTGGTTACTTTTTTTTTTCATTTTTGAAACGTTAAGAATTATTCGTTAGAGGTACATTGTTTTCTTGTTTTGTTTTGTCTAAACTTTCAAATACTACTTCGTAGTGCTTATTACTTTTCTTCTGAAGATCGTGAAGAGCATTTGTAGCTTTGATCGATGGTTTTAGGAGAGTTTAATCATGAGGCTTTGGTCGTCCTCTTAGACAAAATTTGCACAGACCTCAGATAGAAGTAAACTATTTTCATTTCGCTACGTATAACTGACAACCTGTTTTGTTGATCTTGATGTTGACTGATCAAAAGTACAAACTTTGAGTTATATGTGGGAAAATATGGATAAATCATCTTCTACCTGAGGTTTGCGTTGGTGATCTTGTCCAGAAGGACAATGAAAGCTTCAAAAATAAATTACTCAGCTCGGAGAAATCAAATTCCATCAAAACTATTCTTTATTTTATTTATTATTTATTTGAACACATAAATATTATTACAAGTGGGAACTAGATATATATGCGCCACACAAAACAATGAGAATGGGAAGAGAAAAAGATGAGGAGTGTATAAGAAAAAAAAACAACGACCACGGCCTAGTGTATGGTAGTGAGTAATAATAATAATAATAGGAGAAACGGAAAGGTACAACCAGAAGAATTCTTTCAGTTAAGGAAGTTACAACCACTTTTTATGAAGAAAGTAAAAGAAGGTTACAGCAGGATTGCCACTGGTTTCTATTCTGAATCATATCTGATAAAGTCTCTAGCCACTATGTTGCAACGTCTCTCGGACTCCAGCCAAGGAATTATGAAGGACCAACAGAAGCCAGTCCTTTGCAGTTTTCTTTCATACTACGACACTATGTCATACACTGACCACCTCTTCGCTTTTTCCAACCAGTCCCAGAGTCGTAAAATAATGCACGACGTGGAGTTATCTGGGACGACATTCGTAGAACATGTCCAAGCCACCGAAATTGATGTTTCAAGATGGTGACACCAATTGCATTATCGTCTCTGTGCCCGAACACACGAAGCCGAACCTCTGCATTACTGACATGGTGTTGCCACTGGATGTCAGCAATCTTTCGGAGACAACAGTGATCAAACACAGAGAGTCGTCTATCAACCTCAATCTCATCACTACTACTCGGCTCGGAGAAATAAATTCCATCAAAACTATTCTTCTCATCATTGATTTAAACTGTATATGTTTAGATCTCTTAGTAAACAAGTTGTTAGATTTAGCAGAGGTTATTTATTGAGAACATTTTTGGTCTAAATCA